TATGATTCAGTGTTTTAAGTTTTTTACATTTGTTATATTACAAGTAATTTTACCGTGTTCTTTTTTTTTCTTACAGATTCAGAAGTGAAAATCAAGTACATATTATTTGTATTTATCAATTTATGAATTATTCATAATAAAGGCCTATTAAATTCGATTATGAGTTAATTTGTTTAATCAAACATACTTTTATATCAGAATATTAAAATATATTATTTGTAATTCCATTTAAACTATAATATTTTAGAATTCATGTATTTTTTTTTTTATAAATATGATCATCAGATTGATGATATACTATTGGCTGTAGGAACAAATGTATATCCTAACAATTTTACTATGTTTGGATGAGGGGTAACAGAAAGCATAATTTTTGCTTCTCGGAATACCGTTGCTCTTAGCTTTTCATCACTGAGGCCCTCAAAATTGTTTAAACACCTTCACGGCTACATTATCATTTCGATAGCGATATAAGTGCACACGTCCGAAAGTTCCACTCCCAATCCTAGTGTTTAAATTAAATAATTGGTGATAATCGATGTGCGGAATGTGATTAGAAGAGCTTGGTTTTATTTTGGCCAAGTCTTGGATGGCTTTGCATCGCATCTCCAGTTCTTCCTCTAGTCTAATTTTCAAAGATTGTGCTCTTTTTTCTTCCCTCATTCTTTTCACCCGTTCCTCATATAACGCTGTTTTAATGTCATCCTTCAGTACGGTTTCCTTTATAAGAACAGGTTCCTTGTCCGATTCTCCCTTTCCCTTATTGGTAACACAACTTTCATCTATGGTCATCACGACAGCCTCGCGAACGTATAATAGAATGTATCCGTCTTTACTTTCCTCGAACCCGGTTTCATTCTTCGAACGAGGTGGCCTATTCCAGCAAAAGCCTGCCTGAATAGACGCCCGCGTTTTTGGTCTGTAGTTATGTGTGGGTAATTTTTTTAAATAAAAACGCTTTTTTCCAGGTATAAATTTCTTTAAAATAACTGCATGTATAATAGTATCAGAGGCATTCATTTTTAACTCGTCAATGTAAAATAAAGTTATAACTAAAGAGAGGGTTGGCTATCTGAACTGATGTAGTACAGTACTGTACTTCGATTGCACTATCATCGGCTTTATGTATGTTATAACGGCTTGGAATCATCAAAAAGACCGCAATTAACTGATGATCTGTGAAATCGGCTTGTGTTCCTTCTTTTTTTTAAACAGACCCGGATTAACGTTGTCGTTTGATAGGCCGGGGTGGGGAGGCAACCCTAGTACAGAAGAGTGAATTGTGCATATTATTTCGAATGAGTAAACCGGTTGTTTACAATGGTCTATTTGAAATGGGCAGCACATTATTCGAATGGGTAGCACACTATTTGAAATGGGTAGCACATTGTTTCAAATGGCTAGCACACTATTTGAAATGGGTAGCACGTTGTTTCAAATGGTTAACAAAACGATTTGAAATGGGTAGCCATGATTTAAAATAGGGTAGCACACTACTTGAAATGGGTAGCACAATGTTTCAAATGGGTAGCAAACGATTTGAAATGCAGGGCACATGATTTCAAATAGGTAGCAAACTATTTGAAATGGATAGCGCATGATTTCACATAGGTAGCACATGATTCCAAATGCGTTAAAAAGCATCTATAATGCGCAGTACATTAATTCAAATGGGCTGCACACTTTCAAATGGGTAGCACATTGTTTCAAATGGGTAACACGCGATTTAGGTAGCACACTATAATGCGTACCACTTTTAGTACTTTTATGTGGTTAGCACATTTGTTTAATTTGCTATTACCTAGATCGTTCAATGGAATGTTGATACCGGGCAACCTCTTTATAATCTCAGAAAAAGTACACCTAAGATAGGTCTCATAGCGACTGTGAAAGATGTCGAAAAATATAATTATGTAGATCGAGTATGGGCTGCCGATACTGCACATAAAATTTTAAATAAATTTATAATTAAACACCGTACATTTTAATGGCCCATTTCAGGCTCCTTTTATATTCATAAGCCCGACAAAATGACTCTTTCTAGTCCTATTCTATAGTTGCGCTATAATTTAATTTCCCACAAACTAGATTCCCATGGTACTCTTTGAGGTGAAGCAGCACAAGGTTTGTATTTTCTTGCTTGTTTTATGTCCATTTCTATTCATATTCAGATGTTTATAAAATACACAATAAAATGCAGTTTTAATATATAATTTTAAATACATGCTAATAGCCATTAAACGGTGGTCTTCGGGCGGGCTTCCTTATAAAGCTACTAGAAAAATTCACTACAGTACTTCGAGGCCTCCTGTACTAGTTGCCTAGTAACTAACCATAAAATCGTAAAGAGACTTTCCCACAACCAAGGTTCTCATGGTGCTCATGAGGGTGAGAAGGCATATTCTTTGTACGCCGCTCAGGAATGTCCGCGTTACACTGCAAAGACAGAAGTAGGTCAGACGCTGTGAAGGCGTTCAAGTGCGTGCACCTACTTCATGTCACCAACTTCGAGTCATCAATCTTGATGATCATATTTATAAAAAAAAAAATACATGAATTGTAAAATACTATAGTTTAAATGGAATGTAAAAATAATATATTTTAATATTCTGATATAAAAGTATATTTGATTAAACAAATTAAATCATAATCGTAACAACATTCCTCGGCCTTTATTATGAATAATTCAGAAAATGATAAATACAAATATGTACTTGACTTTTTACTTCTGAATCTGTAAGAAGAAAAAGAACACGGTAAATTATATTAAAATTACTTGTAATTAATAACAATTGTAAAAAACTTCAAACACTGAATCATACTAAAAAAAATATATATATATAAAAAAATATTGGGCCTATGATAGTCAAGCATCGTAAAAACAAAAATACAAAATAAATAAATTAATACGCAGTCCGAAACACACGCACCAAACAAACTTTAAAAATACACAACCCTTTAAAAATTACTTTCCAAACATAAAGCACTAGTGCGTATATCGGCATTACTTAGAGGCAGTTTATCGCGACCGAAATGCAGAACAATTCGGCGCGACCAAAAAGAAGGCGCGACCGAAATGATCCCTTCTCTTTGATGCTCGAGAAAAGTCTTATCTCTTCACCGGAATATAGTTTTAGATAGCCAATAAATTGTAGGGTACAAATACATCGCCACTTCTCCAAAGCTCCGCAAGCGTTTTTCGTTGTGTTCATGCACAAGGAAATCGCGGGC